ATGATAATTTTATTTTCATGATAATAAATATATATTTTTATTATTATTTTACAGTTTCTGGCTGTAATAAATGGAATTTGATTTTTTTTTTCTTTTAAACAAAGGTAAAAATAAATACAAAATACAACCAATTAAATTTGTATACCCCTCCCTGAACTAAAATAAAACAAAAACGTAAGCCCCTCTCCAGTGTTAAAAATGTTATTTGACATGCCTCCCCTTTCCACTCCCATCATAAGTGACGAACAGTCCCTACGTTCTGCTGATGAAATGTGTTTATTAAAGCCTGCAGGTGTTTTTCTATCTGTTCTGGTTCTATGTGTGACTCATCTGCAGGAGGCGGGTCTTAGTGCTCGGACCAATGAACTGCTGCTCTGAAGACAACCAGCCAATAGGACTGCAGTTGTGTTCGCTGACAGCCAATGAGCTCCAGCTGTTCCTGGATCACAGTCCGCCGCCATCTTGTTTGTTTTTGTGTCTTAAGCCTCTGGTTACGGGAAGTGAGAGTGGGACGGGGAAATCCGAGGTGACGTCATCCACCTCGACTGATCGGCCGAGCTCAGACTGACAGGAGAGCTGTCCAATCAGAGGGCCGCAGAGAGGCGGGGGGCGGGGCTGAGTTTTTACAGAGCGTTTCATCAGCAGGACTGAAAACACCAAAAATAACCGAAGAAGAGGGAGGTGATGAAAATGAAAAGAAAAATACAGCCACAAATTATAAAGTGAATAATTTAATTAAAACAGTCGTGATATGATGAAAACAGCCATGTTTCATGATTCACAACATATATAATATAATATAATATAAAGTGAAGAATGTTTCATATTTCACAGCATCCAATCGACATTGCACATTTAGGGGTGTGTGTGTATATCATTAAAATATTAATAAGTAAAAAATAAATTAATAAAATATTGATTAATGAATACAAATATAATTAAATATATAATGAAAATATGATAAAGTATGTAAAGTAAGTATTTAGAATTATAAGAAAATATAGTTATGGATTCAGAGACATTATATATAGTCTAATGCATTTGATTTATACAATTCAATTCCTTTTTTTTGTCACTGAAAATAAATACAACAAAATTCAGTTCCGAGCTGCTGCATGCACACGCGCTGCCATCTTCCCTGTATTTATATAACTGTATAAATGTAATTCTTATCTGGATAAATTTTCATTTTCATAAATGTAAATTTAATTTATTCAGTTACTTTCTGTACCAGCTTATCCTGTTGGGGGTCACGGGAGGCTGGAGCCTATCCCAGCTGACACTGGGTGAGGTCACCAGACTATCACAGGGCTGACACATAGAGACAGACAACCATTCACACTCACATTCACACCTACGGACAATTCAGAGTCACCAATTAACCTGCATGTCTTTGGACTGTGGGAGGAAGCTGGAGCACCTGGAGGAAACCCACGCTGACACAGGGAGAACATGCAAACTCCTCACAGAAGGGCTCCCCACCCTGGGAATCCTCTTGCTGTGAGGCCATAATGCTAACCACTGCACCACTGTGCCACCAGTAATGTAACCATACCTTTTTTAAAATTTAACAAAGGAAAACAAAACACACATTTTGATGCATTGTCAATATTATATTTCACCCTCTCTAAATACAAACATGTCAAAATCATTATTTGTATAATCTGTCACACCTTCACCTGGAGTCACTTTTCTGTTTTTAACAATAATATCATGGATCAGTATTTTCTTGTGTTGACACTGGGTGGTGCTGTTACTGCATTTGTACGTTGTTCTACTGCATCACAATAAGGCTTTTTGAATGAGACAGCAGCAGCAGCAGCAGTGACAGTGGCAGTAATAGTAGATGTAATAATAGCAAACACACTCCATGTGGTCAGTTTTTACATTTTTATTTCATTTATAACCTCATAAACATTTCTCATTGTATTTTCTTACAGAAGGGCATGATGGGAAACAGACATAGACAGGATGGAAGGCAGTGGCCGGCCACTAACCAATAACCTGCAATCAATCAATACTCAATAATCAATAATAACAAGATACTAGAACTACAACAGGAAGAAGAAGAAGAAGAAGAATACACAACCATGCTGCTGTTACACCTGGAGAGAGCTCCTGGTTCTAAATCAGTTTAACCATTTCTGGTGATGTTTCCAGTTAGGGACTGTCCGTTATTTATGAGGGGGTGGTGCAAAAAGGGGGAGGCATGTCAAATCATTTTTAAGCACTGGGAAGGGATTTTTAGGGGAGGGGCATACAGACTGAAATGGTTATATTTTGTATTCATTTTACTGCAGATTTAAAAAAAAAAAAAACCAAACAAACAAACAAACATGTCATGTTCTCAACTGGCTTATGCTTTTATCCTGACTGTTTTTTTTAAAGCAGATCAGGTTTTTGGTTTTATGTTTTTCTCAATGATTTTGATGATTGTATTATTTTCACTTGATCTGTAAAGCACTTTGTAACTGTGTTTTGAAAGGTGCTATACAAATAAAGTTTTATTATTATTATTATTATTCCAAACCCACCCACCAAAATTATACCATTCATCACAGCCAGAAACTGTAAAACAGAAATTATTGTTTCAATATAAAAAATATCTGGAGCTTCAGGGAGGGTCAAGAAACAACAACAAATCAAAAAAACAAACAAACAAACCAAAGACACACCCCTCCTCTGATAAGTAAAGAACATGTCGCTAACATTATTTGGTTTGGTTCATGTTTCAGCTTCATCTCGGCAAACTGCGAGTATAAACGGAGGTGAAAATCCTGATGGTCTCCATGGTAACAGCAGCCAATAACAGTCCATAACACTGTGACCGTGTGATGAGGAGCAATCAGGTGATGGATGTTTGATTTAACACATAAAACCCACCCGAAAAACCACTGAGATTATATCAGAATCCAGATCAGGACCAGGATCAGGATCAGGATCAGAACAGGAAGTTGAAAAAAACAACATAATAAAAACGGTTTGTATATAAAAGACAAATAAATACAAACCCACAGACTAACACTGACAGCCACCGAGTCGTCTGATTTGGCACAGGCAAAAGTTGAATAAAATTCAAAACGTGTGTATAAGGCAAATACTGATGAGACCAGAACAACAGTCCAGTGTGACAGAACCAGCTCTGACCGGTTAGACCCAGTTAGAACCGGCTCTAACCAGCTGTGGTGGTAACTACATCTGCTGTTAGTTTGATACTGACTGGCTGTACTGGCTTACAGCTGACTGGTACCGGCTCTAACTGGTTCAAAGTGGCTGTAAATAAACCAGTTAAAACTTGATTCTATTGGTGATTTAACTGGTTCTGCTGACGTTATAACTAGAGACGAGCAGGTTGAGTGTTTTCACTGATGCAAAGTAATAAAGAAGCGACATGACTCTAAAACGGTTTTGTTATGAAATATTGACGCATCATGTGTGAACCTAACTCAAAATAAAAAACATAATTAGGGGTAACGTTACACCACATCACACTTAAAATGAGTGTGACCTTAAAGTTGAAGAAAATATTTAACTGAAGAAGAAAAAAAATTCAACTACAATCAGCAGGCTCACTTGCCCGGGAGAAGTAAATTAATGCAAGCCTTTTGTGTCACGCTAACTTTGGTTAAGTTTGTATTTGTGGCATTGACCAACATAAAATTGTCTCTACCTTGAAGGAATGGTAAATACCACAATTATATTGTTCTCGACTGGCTGGAGAGTTAACGAGTAGGTTGCTAGCTAAACCTTTTGGCCAGCTAGTCCTGTGAGTAGCTGCTAGCCTCAAGCATCTTCACTAGTCAGGTCTAACCTTATGGTGTTTGTCTACTTGATGTACTCCCTCTCTGTTTTTATACACCACAACTCTAAGTTACTGTGTAATGTAACTAAAACTAAAGTTGTAAGGTGGCTAACATTCACAACAGCGCTGCCATTATACACAACATGGACAAACTTGTCTGCTAGCGAGGGTTTAGCTAACATTAGCTTTGTCTTCATATTAAAACTCCAGTGGTTAAGTTCAGTGCTAACAAGCTAACAGGTAGCAAATGGGGTAATCAACGTTAGCTTGTTGGGAAACTGAGGGTGGGGAGTCTTAGTGTTTTCTCAATAAAGCGCTCATCACATCATGTTCATGACAGTCCAAACTTGTTAAACAAATCTAACATAGACTTATATTGCCTCTGTTTGTTTTCAGTTACAAATTTTAATATTTATAATACTTATAGTCTTAGTGAAACGTAAGTTAGAGTGTCATTAGCCTCTGCACTGTGACATATTTCCCAGTTAACTGAATAAAGAGTGGTGCAGGAATGAGTCCCAAAACCCGGAAATGAGTTAGCGTGTTAGCACTCCTGGTTTCCTCTTCTTGAAGTCAATGTGTTTTTGGTTAGATGTCTGAAATAAGGCCTGTGGTTAACACAAGCTGAAGAGACTTTCATGTTTTGTTCTCTGACATAAAATACAGCAGTAAATCCGACACTCGTGAATTTTGAAGCGAGTCTTAAAAGAAAAGGTAGCTAGCAGGTGGCTAAATGAGACAGAACGTCATCACACCGAGCATCGTTGAAGCCATGTCACATAGTTTGTTTGTAGCCTAACATTAGCTTTTTACTTCTGGCAATTGCATTTATCTTTCAAAAGTCCTAAAGTTGGTGTTTATTTGTGATTATCTTGATAAATAAAACCTGTAAGTATCACAAACTTTTGTTTGCCACAGAGCTCATTTTTTGCAATTATCCAAAACCCAATGGAAAAATCTCGTTGGATCTTTGACGAGGGAAACAGGGCGACACTAACGTCCGTGTCAGCCTCCAAACAGAAAAAAACATCATCCATGCACTCTGTTGTGGTGAGTCATCTTGGGAGCTAGCCTCCTGGCTAAAGCTAGCTTGCTCTCTTCTCTGCAAACATCTGAGCAAATTTTCAGGTAGGCGTTATTTTGAATAATAATTTAAAGAAATCTGTTCATTTCACACACACAAAAAAAAAACATCTCATGTGTAGCCTTCATATTTTAATGACGCTCATCTCTAGTTATAACCAGCTCAGACGGATGTAGGAGACTGCAACTGGCTATAAACTGGTGTAAGAGACTGTAACTGGTGATATAAACTGATATCCATCCCAAAAGTAACAACAAGAAATATTTAAACACATAATCTGATATAATAGCCGACAACTTCACAGGCTCTGTTTACTGAATACTGGATAGTTGTGAATACGTGCGTTGGCACACGGAGAGAAAAGTGCACACTGGACTGATACAACACACCACTGTTCAACTGTACTGAACACACACTGGTCAGAACCGCTCAGAACCAGTAAGAACCAGTCAGGACTGGAACCAGTCTGCAAAAGTCTCTGAAAACAGAAAGAAAATAAATCTCATACGAGAAGCAAAATAATCGACACCTGCTCAACACGAGTCACTCAGATTGAAATTGAAAACATTTTCACCACATCGAGACAACTGGTGATGATGGGAACGATAAGGCTGAGTTACTGGCCATTTCCTTCCATTCCCAGTGAGGGAGGAGAGGACGACACACCACTGGAGTCTGCTTTACACGCCAAGAACACGCCAAACACACGCTGTGACAACCAGAGCCACACACAGACTGAGCACCATGTGACAGAGGCCTGAAGTTAAAGGAAGAGTTCAACATTTTTAAAACATGTTTTAACTCAAGAGTCACATGTTTCACTTCAGTGTCATCTCCGCAGATCCAGGATGAGGTCAGCCTAGCTTAGCATAAAGACTGCAGGCTGAGGGAAACTGCTAGCCTAGCTTAGCATAAAGACTGCAGGCTGAGGGATGAGGGAAACTGCTAGCCTAGCTTAGCATAAAGACTGCAGGCTGAGGGAAACTGCTAGCCTAGCTTAGCATAAAGATTGCAGGCTGAGGGAAACTGCTAGCCTTGCTTAGCACTAAGACTGGAAGAAGGGGAAAACTGCTAGCCTAGCTTAGCCTTAAGAGTGGAAGCAGGGCGAAACTGCTAATCTAGCTTAGCACAAGGACTGGAAGAGGGGGAAAACTGCTAGTCTAGCTTAGCACAAAGGCAGGGAGAAGGGGGACACTACTAAACAAGCTTTGCACAAAGACTAGAAGAAGGGGAGTCTTCTAGTAGCCTGGCTTAGCCTGAAGACTGGAAGCAGGGGAAAACTTTTGGCCTAGCTCAGGACAAAGGCTGGAAGCAGGGGAAAACTGTTATCCTAGGAGACTGCAAGCAGGGGGAAATGTAAAGCCTAGCTTAGCATAAAAGACTGGAAGAAGGGAGAAACTGCAAAACTTGTTTAGCGTGAACATATGGCTATCTTAGCACAAAGCAGGGGAAACCTGCTAGCCTAGCTTAGCACAAAGACTGGAAGTAGGGGGAAACTTCTAGCCAAGCTTAGCACTCTGAAGAACAGGAGGATTGACTGAAACATCAGACTGTCCCTTTGAGCTTCATGCTGTCAGCCGTCTGGTTGGCTCTGGCTGTGTGGAGGTCTGCAGAGCGTGGAGGGACAGCGAGCATTAACCTTTAACCTTTACACAGTCACATGACCGGGGAGGTCACAGGAGAATAAATTATATTTACAACATTTTTACTCTTTGTTTTCTTCTTGCATCAACTTGCATCAAGCAAACATCAAACACAACCCAGACTCATAAACACGGAAATATCAGTTCATCATAGCATCAGATAGATTCATCAGAATAACAATAATAATAATATTAATAATAATATTTTCACTATCAAAACACTTTGTCCAAAAGGTGTTTATAGAGACAGAGAGAGAAATACTGGACCACATCATAAAAACAACTCAAGTCTTTTCTTTTGGGTTCAGTTCAGATCGGCTCCGTCTAATTGCTGGATTCATCCAGGACACAGAGCGCACCGAGTCCGTCTGATCACATGAAGGGGGACAGTCCAGTCTGCATCCTCTTCATGTCTCCGTCCATCTTAAAAAAAACTCTTTCTCAAACTTTTTACAACCAACTCAAAAAAAAAAAAAAAAAAAAAAACCTTCGCCTTCATCATCATCATCATCATCATCATCATCTGGGGCAGAGATCATCAGATTCCTGCAGAAACCTCGTATGTCAAAGGGTAATAGTACTGTTAAATTATCTTTATTAATTCATCAGTTGTAGAGACACAATCTGAGGCTACTAAGTCAAACATTTCTATTTTAAAGTCTTTTTTTTGTTTCTTTTTGGACTTAAAGTTGTAAACTTGAAACATCAGCGGACTTCAGTTTCCCTGTTTTACGTTTTGTGAACTGAAGATGCAGTTTGAACTCTGAGATCTAAAATAAATATATTCATAATAAGTATATAAACCGATGATTCTTGATATTTCTGCAGGATGGCGATGAACTGCCCCAGTGATTTTATAAAAACCTGCAGCACCAGACTTCACCAGCAGAGGGCAGAGAGGCTTCAGGTAGAACGCCTCGGAGCAGAGGCTGCTGGGAAGTGTAGTTTACCTCCAGACAGGTGATTTGATTGGCAGGTTCGGAGGTCACAAAGCAGCAGTTTTTTTTCTTCTTCAGGGGAAATTTGGGGTTAAAAATGTCTTTCAAGTGCATTTAAAGGGGACACATGGGTCTTTTTATTCTTCGTGTTCAACAGTTAAACTCCACTTCCTGTTGACAGGTTTCAAAATAAACTTTATCTTTTAAAAACAGGGCTGAATCTCTTGTAAGGGGCGATTTCGGGCAACTGGCTGGGATGTGAAGCTTCTGATCCAGATTGACTCCAGCATGTGTTTCTGTGTGTTTATCCTCGTTCATGTTTTCATTGGGGTTAATGAAGGTTGACGTTGTTGTTGACGTCTTTACACGTTTATGTCTCAGTCTCAGAGTCCAGATCTCAGACTGTGAGGTCAATACGTTTCTTTATCTAATCTCTGTATTCATATTTGACCGTAAGCTGCTGGACCGTCGTCTCTTCAGTCTCAGGACGAATTAGCTGTCTGCAGCAGATGTTGGGAGAAGGGTTCCAGATATATTCTGCAGAATGTTTTAAAACTTAATGATTTGATTTCTGTGGATGTTTTTTGAGGGACCTAGAGACAGGCTCTTTGGGAGTCTTTGGAAGTGCGGCCTGTACTGCATTTTGTTCACTGGGATGTTTTATACTTTCTGTTCTTTTGTTTTGTGTCTGTTCATCATCGTTTGTTTGTACTGCAGTCCGTCTTGTCCAGGACTCCCTCAACAAAAACAGATTTTAATCTCAGCTGTTAAAAAAGGTAAAATAAGAAAAAACATGTTTGTGGAGTTGATATCGATTCAGAGATAAATGAAGATATCGGACTGAATGTGTAGTTGTGTTGTGTTTGTGACCGTCCTGCAGATTCTGACGCTCGCTGGTCTCAGACAGTTTAAATGTGTATTTAAAGGTAAATCAGGAGCTCACAGTAACCGCTGACAGCTGACAGACCGTCTGACAGTAGGTGAGAAAATGTGCTTTATGTTCCAGGAAACGTCCAATCAGAGAGCTTCTTACTGCTGACAGATAAACTCACACATTCACTTCATATGATACAACTCTGATGTCACAGCTCTGGGTGGTGGTGTCCCCGTAGCAACGGTGGCTGAGGCTTATGGGTACTGTAGTGTTTAAGACCATACTCAGGGGAGAAAAAACACAGTGTTTCCTGTGAGGATTTACTGTGGGAGAAGAAGCTCCGCCCACCTCACTGCGTCACAGCGCAGGTAGGAAAAAAAAAGATGAATCATGCAGTGTGTATGTGTGTGTGTGTGTGTGTGTGTGCGTGTGTGTATGTGCTAGATATCGGCTGTATGTGTACTGGTTTTAATGGTTTCCAATAAGGATTGCTCTGTATCATCCCCATCCTTCGTCGTCCCACAGAATCACGTGTTCTCCCCCTCCTCTGCAGCCAATAGCTCCTCCCCCTCCTCCTCCAGACTCTCCACAATTGGCCGGTGCATCTGAGGCTCCTCCCCCCTCCCGGCTCTAAGCAGGACATCCATCCATCGCCGCTGCAGCTCCTCCCCCTCGGCGCTGAAGTACAGGGTCAGGTGACTCTGGGAGATCTTGAAGGCGTGGCGGCGCTCCAGGCGGTCACATGGCTCAGGAAGGGAGACTTCGAAGCCAATCAGAGGGACACTGCGCTGCGCCTTCACGTCCTGGTGGGAAGATAATCAGTTCAGTCTGTTATTTACTAGATAATAGAATCACCACCCAGTGGTTGGACTCCGCCCACCAGTCTGCCCTGTGATTGTATGACTCCGCCCACCAGTCTCCATCCATGTCAGTGAAAACATGGATGCTTCACACACAGAAGATCTATACAATCAGCACAGCTTCAAACTCAACATTGAATATGTTAAATGAATGAAATTGACACTTAATAGAATAAATCATTATAAAACACTGTACACTTATCTACACTAGTTAAAGAACCTCCATTAATCGCGTATAGTATACCCACCTATCAGCTAAAAAGCCATTGTAATATAGGAGAGTATGCCTACTTCCTCATCAGTAAGCTACCTATCTACCTAGCAGTACACCCACCTCATCAACTACCACTACACCACTGGTCTCTCCCTCCCTTCCCTCTCACCTGCCCTCACCAAAGAAAAAAAACTTGCAAAAGGAGCTTGCTTGGGTGAAAGCCGCTTCAGTGAACTCAAGTAAAGCCGGGTAACGGTACATTTTATTGTGAGTTAAAGTAACGGCGTTATAACAGGGGAGACAGTAATTTTTTGATTACTCGTTACTGAAAAAAGTAGCGCCATTAGTAACGTCGTTTATTTATAACGTCGTTATTCCCATCACTGTTGATGAAGTTCCCTTGAGGTGTTCTTGAGATATGGCGTTTACATGAATGAGACAGATAAGGTCACAGTGACCTTTGACCACCGAAATCCAAACAATTCATTGTTGAGTCCCAGTGAAGATTTGCGCCAAATTTTAAGAAATTCCCTCAGGCTGTTCTTGAGATATCATGTTCATGAGACAAGACAGACAAGGTCACAGTGACCTTGACCTTTGACCACCAAAATCTAATAAGTTCATCTTCGAGGCTAAAGGAACGTTTGTGCCAACTTTGAAGAAATGACCTCAAGGTGTTCTTGAGTTATTGCGTTCACGAGAATGAGACAGACTGATGGACAAACCAAAAACATAAGGTCACAGTGTCCCTGACCTTTGACCTTTAACTACCAAATTCTAATCAGTTCATTGTTGAGTCTGTGCCAAATTTAAAGAAATTACCTCAAGGTATTCTTGAGATATCGTGTTCACGAGAATGGGACAGACTGATGGACAAACCAAAAACATTATGCCTCTGGCCGCAGCTTACGCCGGCGAAGAGGCGTAAAAATATGCTTTCCTTTGAAAATCCCTCCGCACAGAGCGCTCCTGTCTGGAGGGACATTTTTTGTTTCTACCCTCCTGTAGAGATGGACTATTCAAAGACACAGTGGCATCTAATGGATTTTAGCACAACATACCTAAACCAAATGTTAGAGATAGCTCGACCAGGCTGAACACATTTTTTACTTGGATATTGTGGCTGTAATGAGCCCTGCAGCCTGTAGGGGGCAGCTGTCATATACAGTATATATGAATAATGTACCTGCGGAGCTCCGTAGATGTAGAGCACCAGTGGCTCGTTCTCAGGGATGACGAACCAGGCCTTCTGCCAGCCCCGCCCACTTCCTTTCTCCATGTGGTGAAGAAAACTACAAATCACACTGTTCTCTGCTGCCAGGGAGGCCTGTTTCTATGGCAACAAGAGACAGAGATGAAGAGAGCATCAGTCCTCTGCCATAGAGACAGAAAATTAAAAAAAAACAAATGTTTGTAGTGATGTCACATATTCTTAATTCCTGATATGATATCAGTAATATTACAAATACAGTTCAGTATTTACAGTTCTCCTGTGGTTCTCAGTCCTGAAACCTCACAGAGCTGAAAACCTTTTACTGACAATAGAGAAACAACAAATATCTATTGGTGATGTCACAGTGATGTCGCACTAACCTCCAGGATGGAGCGCCTCCTCTGGGTGCTGCTGCTCAGCGTGGCGGGCGAGGGGCACACCCCCACCAGCATGGCGTAGCAGTCGACACAAACTCGGTTGGTGCGGTTGTTGTCGTACGAAAGGCGAGCACGAAACTCCGAACATTTCCCACAAACCACCTGGAGCCAACAAACTGTCAGTCACGTGTGTGTAGGTTCTGAGGGCACTACAAATGTACTCAGGTACTTTACTGCAGTAAAAGTTCTAATACAGACTGAAAATACTTTAAAGCTAAAGTCCTGCATTCAGTCGTTCTTAAAGGTTCTGTATGTAACTTTCAGTATATCCATGTTATTACTGACTCCTCTCTTTAAGGCCATTAAGTGAACTGCAGTTAGCATCCTGTTCCGTGAGCGAGCGCCTGGGCATCGACCAAAACACTAACAAACATGACACTGACTGACTGTCATCATGTTGACAGAACGCTTGAAAATAAATTACACTCGTATGTAGAAAAACATTGCTATTACATTTCGTTTGGACCATTGTCTCTATGATACTAAGTAGCTTACAGGTCATGTCATCAGCTAACGTTACGATGAAACCAACTACAGATCCTTGAAGCTCAGTTACAGCTAGCTGGCTAACCTTAGCTCAGGTTATGATTAGCTCGTTGCTGCCCCTGCATCACTCATGGCTACTGCTCTTTGTACAGTTCCATTATTTATTGTTGGCTGAATCAGAATATCATGGACCAAGTTAGCTAGTGAAGTAATTTGGAAAGCTAGCCAACTGACATATCCACTCAGAAAGCATCTATAAAGTTAGCAAGCAAGCAAGCTAATGTAGTGAGCTGCTAATGTTAGCTGATTCACTAACAGAAAGCTCACTAATTTACCAGCCAGATCAGGCCTGAAGTCTGAATGAATTAGATGACATTAATCACTAAAGACTGTATTTTGCTATGTTAGCTAGCTAGTAATTCGGCTGCATTAGCAAGCCGAATGTTTCCTGTAATGTTAGGATGGTTTAGGTTTTTTTGCACCAGGGGAAACTTAATTTACTTTTTATCAGACCACAAGAAATTAGACAAGAATTAGCTAGCTAGCACAGCCAGGCCCCCAGTAGGTGCGCCGGGCTTTGAAGCTAATTGCTATAGCCTCACGTTACCAGTTTCCATTCACTCTGAATTTTGTCTGGATTCTGGTTCCGGTCTAGAGAGTGGATCCAGAATTCACCAAATTCACCAAAGTTAAAGTGTTCACCAAAGTAAAACTTTAAATTCTGGCGCACCATCGATTTACAATAAAAGAAAAAGTTAACTTAATGGCTTGGGGCTTTTCTTGTAAATTATATTCTTTAAATTAAAAAGTTTCACTGCATTTTTATTAGCTTGGTGCTTTTATTTTGACGGAAAGGCGCATCCATCGAATTCCGGATCCTGTCTCTCTCGCCCTGGTTCTGGTTCCTTACCAAAACAGCCACTAAACGGCCCCAGACTAAATTGCTGTAGTGGCCAAACTGTAATTACACGTCACGTGATGCCCTGCAGCCCCATAACACTTTTCCCATTGACTTACATGGTGAAAGAGACTGGATACATTTTTTTGAGCAACACAGCCCCCAAATGGCTTGTTTCACTATCAAGATTTAATCTATTTGGTCTGATAACATTTAGAAAGTCTGGAAGAGCCACATAATTGAATTATTTTATCCCCATTCAAGTTAATGGAGTGCTAAACCCAAAGCAGCCAACTCAGCTGTCAGAAGTCTTTCCTGGGCTGCACAGAAGCAGTGCTCAGTCATCGCGGTTATTTTCTGCACTGCAATTTAACCACTTTGGCTTCATGCGCCACTGAGCAACTTTCATAGAAATGAATGGGGCCCTGCTGCAAGGCTGTATCAAATTCTCTGTATACATCCATGCCTGCGGACCCTCTACCTCACTCCCCACTGCTACATCACTTCCCTTGGAGGAAAGGAGCCTGGATTTAACTGATGTAGCGTCTGGAATTCAGGCAGTGCAAACCCCAGCTCCAGTGGACTGGTTGCCAGCGGCAGCGCTGGGTCTAACTCGAGTAATGGCAGCAACAGAACATTTGCTGATTTCAGAGGGCGGTCTATGACCAGACCCCTTGTGCTTGGGTGCTCGGTGGTGCTCTGGCTGAATTGGAGTTGCTACAGGGCACCTTGAGAAGGTCCCTCTCCACCGGACCACCGCTGTAAAATGTATATGGCAGGAATACAGCATGTGTGGACTTGTGTGGGTGCTGGTCGTTTGTTGACGTTAGCTGACGCCATTTTTTAGCTTACGTTAGCTACTGTTAGCACTGTAGCAGACTTAAAGAGAGACAAAAAGGCCCTTGGGATCTTTATTGTCCCAAGTCCTTTACGTAGAGGTCAATCCACAGGCTGTTAGAGGAATCTGTCGGGGAAGGTCATCTATCTACATCTATCGGCAATAAAAAAAAATGAATATATGTAAAACGTTACACGCAGAACCTTTAAGTGCAGTACATGAGTAAATGTACCAGTAGCGGAACAGCTGTTGGCAGCTGAGGTCACACATTAATATAACACAGACTACACTGCAGATACAGTCGATGATGAACATATGTATCCAAAGGCTTCACAGTGATTTTGTTAATGATGAACGTACGTGTCCGCAGGCTTTACAGTGGTGTCGTCTCTTGGTGATGGAGTTGAACGGTTCCTGACACTTCATACACAGAGTGACTTCCTTCTCTCTGATTGGAGTCGGAGCTCGTTTTCCCAGCTCCACACAGCTCTGAGAGACAGACAGACAGACAGACAGACAGTCAGGCAGGCAGGCAGGCAGGCAGTCAGACAGACAGACAGACAGACAGACAGACAGACAGGCAGGCAGGCAGGCAGGCAGACAGACAGACAGACAGACAGACAGACAGACAGGCAGGCAGGCAGGCAGACAGATAGATGGAGGGAGGTGGACAGTGGGCATTAGATTAACAAAGTAAACTCTGAGTGGTTTATCTGCTGCAGCTGACGTCACTGAAAACTCAGAGATAATTCCTGCATGTTTCATGCCAAACGTCAGAAACAGACACTAAAATAACATGTTGACACTGGTTTGTCCTGCAGCTCTTGAATCTACCATCACCTCTAACAGCATCTTGTCATGTTAACTGATCTGTGGTCAGTTGTTAGTGAACATGTTACCGGGGAGTGAGGCGGTGTGGACTCGTCGTCTCGTAGTGAACAGTTGAGATGTCTGAAGCTGTCCACCGTCTGCTCGTGTCTCTGGATCGTCGCCTGGATGGCCTGACAACACACACACACGTTTCACAATAAAAGCCTGAACATCTGTGATGCTTTTAATTTGACACATCTGCACAGGAAGTGTTTCAGTGACATCAGGCCGTTGTACCTGGAGAACGTTCTGTCTGTGACCGTGTGCACCGTTTTTTTACAGTTTCCAGACTGAACAAAAAGTTTCCTTGAAACGGAGTGAAACAGGTTTTGATGCACATTTTCTGTTGTTTGATGGGTGCGTCAGAGGTGACAGCCAATCAGCTGCGACGTGTATATAAATCAAATTCTGGTAGGTCTTTCCTGATTGTACCTACAAGTTTTGTTTTTTATTTCTTACTTGTTTTGGCGATGGAACAGATGTTTTGACTTTAAATGAATTAAGGGAGTGTTTGTTACTAGTGAGGGGTGGTGCAAAAAGGGAGAGGCATGTCGAACAATTTTTGAAGCACTTCAGAGGGACTTCTGTTTTGATTTTGGCTAAGAGGAGGAGCATAGAAATATACATGGCTGTGTTTTGTATTTACTTTACTGCCGATCTTTAAAGAAAACATGCCTTCCAAATTTTGGCGATGCAATTTTTGACCTTTTTTTTTTACAAACCTGCAGGCGGGATTGGAAGGCGTGTTTTCTTTAAAAATCACCAAAATGACACCATTTATCAGCCAGAAACTGTAAAAACAGAAGTTGTCATGATTTTCACATTTCCGACAGACATTGAACGCATCACGTGGGACGAACCCTCCTGTTAGGAAAAAAAACAAACCCATAACCAAATCTGATCTTAAAATAACGTCTCATTTAAAATTTGTCCAAAAATAAACCATTTGCACAAAAAGAGTGAGAAAATTAGACTTTTTTCAGCTCCAGGATTTCATCTTCAACTTTTAACTTTCAAACATCAACGTTTTAAAAATCTAATAACTCATTTAACGTGGAGGGAGGGTCCTGGATTTTCCTCCAGTCATTCAGGGAGGGTCAAGGAAAAATATTTGGAGCTTCAGGAAAGGGTCCAAAAAGAAAAACAAACGCAAAACCAAAAAAAAAACACAAAGTCACACCACAGCCACTCCTCCTCTCCTCTCCTCTTACGAACAGTCCCTAAACCTCCCTGTATTAAAAGGCAGTGCATCTGTGTATCACAACAAGTTGTTCTTTTTACACACGTGTAGCTCCATGTCGTCAGGGCTGGATGCAGCTCTGTTTGACCACAGACCTGTAACCACACCCTGCAGTGATGTCACAGGATACTGCAGTACATCATGACATCACTGCAGCCAGGTAACAGGAAGTGAGTGTTTACCTGTATCCAGTCTTTCTTCTCCTCCTCCGTCCTGCAGAGACACAATCACACAGAGAGACGATGAGAAAACAGCTGACCCAGTGTCTGTCTGTCTGACTGTGTCTGTGTGTGTGTGTGTGTGTGTGTGTGTGTGTGTCGGTACGTAGGTCCATCTGTCTGTCTGTGTGTCTGTGTGTCTGTCCGTCGGTCCGGCTGTGTCTGTGTGTCTGTCGGTCTGTCTGTCGGTCTGTCTGTCTGTACCTGGCCTGCAGCTCCAGCGATCTCTGTTTTCCAGACACCAGGAATGTCCTGGGAACAGCAGCACTGCTGGTCTCCTTCAGCTGTAAGGACAGACAGAGGGACAGATTTAATAAAGTTGGACGACACGTTTCCTTTTCTTCTGGCTGTACAAAAATTAAGCCAAAATGTTCCGGATACGGCTGCTGCCATCTCATGCTTGTGACATCATTTGGAACAAGACTCTGTGTAGGAGAGATCTTCACGGTGTCCAGTTCACATCCAGACACCTGTACGACCAATCGCAAGCAGCGCCATTGATCATCAACACACAAATCGGCACATACGCACGATGCGTCTCAGAGTCAAGGACGGCTGAATTTCAAGGAGGATACGTCATCGAATCCTGCCGAAGGACTGTTCAGTGTCAAGGATCCTTTGAATTCTACAGGGGAAGCACGTGTTTATCCTCAGTGGGTGTGAAACACCAAATTCTTTGCACACGATTAGCTGGATTTCAAAATGTGGGGCCTCTTCAGTGACCCATTCCTGGATACTCATGAAGCGTCCTTGACTTTGAGAAGCACCTACAGTTTATCAGCTGATGATGTCTCACCTCCATCCCGTCCACATCGATGCGAGCGCGGACGCCATACTTCTGACCAATCAGACGCAGCTTCGGGACACAGTACAGCAACCTGTCGTTAAACTGCAGAGAGAGACGGACCGTCAGTTATCAGTCTGTAGAACACTAGAACATCAGAGTAGGAGACAGTAGAGGACAGTAGAGTACCAGTATGAGGTATCGGTCCTGTGTGGTCCCGTTCTTGTTGGACAGTTTGAGGATGTGTCCCTCTTTAATCAGCTCGTTCGTCGGGTTGACGATGTCTTCCTCTCCTCCCAACAACTCGTACACCTTCAGCAGCTTCCTCATCCGCTCCTGACAGACAGACAGACAGACAGACAGACAGACAGACAGACCGATGTTCAGTTTCCTGAGCTCTGAAGCTGTTGGTGGACAGAAACTCTGAAACATGAGACAGATCCTGAGGACAGGCTGAGTCACGAGTCATGTGACAGGAAGCAGTTTAATGAGTGTTATCACAGGAGTTAATTAAAGACGAGGTGGAGGTTAATGACAAACTGTGTGTGTGTGTGTGTGTGTGTGTGTGTGTGTGTGTGTGTGTGTGTGTGTCTCACCATCTTCCTGATGGCAGCGTTGGAGTGTTCTGCTGCCGTGGCGATCAGCTCCAAAGACTCTGCAGAGAGAGACGATCACATGACATCACATCACAGAAATTTAATACAGATTTGGGTATCCCATGTTTTGCATCAGCTGATCCATCTCAGTTTTGTGCTGTTTTTTATTTCAAAGCATCTTTGGATTAGATCACATACAGATAACCTGGGGTCTCATTTATAAAACAGTGTGTAGAATCCATACTAAAAATGTACATGCGGACAAAAACCAAAAATGGTGTGTGTGTAAAAAAATATTTGACAATTTCTACATCCAGGCCTCCACCTCACCATGTGCAGCACCTATTTCCTGTCTCCAAAGTGCTGGTTAACACGGGTCAAAGTTTCTCCCATCAGGTCTATTTTTATAGATCACAATTTTTGCGTGTGAAGTGGCGTGCGCCTCTTTCAGGCCTCGTTCTGTGTGTAAGCAGTGTTTATAAATGAGACCCCAGAGCTCTAAACGGGACGACATGGCCAGTGATATTCAACTTGCAACCTGTGGGCCAAATGTGGCCCGCAGTAGGGTGCCGGGTGGCCTGACGACCAATTTCCAGTTCACATTGAAAATGAATTAATTCACACTGGACGTTTCTATACTTTATATGACGCTCAGTGACTTTCTTTATGCTGTATTCAGTCACAGTTCCTCTGTCTTGTCGCGGCTGTGTCCACATTTTCTTCACTGATTCTTGGTCAAATGTCTCTAAAGGCTTCTGACAGATGCAGAAAATGCAGAAAATCAAAACTGTTATGAAAATTTTTATTGACGGACTTAAGTTTCGGACTCAGTGTACAAACGTGATTAACACAGCGTGAGGTCGTATTTATTTTTAGACATGCGACAGTTTTGGACGAAAACCACCAGGGTTCACTTCGTCTACTGCTGTTTGACTTCACTCTCTGAACATGAACATGACATCGTCCATCAGCTGTTTCCTGACCGGCCCATTTTGTCAAACTGTTTCTGAACCAGACAGAGTTAAAGAGCCGAACACAGGCGGGTCGGTCTGTGACTGATCCATGGAAACATGTTCGGCTGTGACTCAGGACGTAGAGCGGGTCGATCCCCTGATACTGAATCCTAACCTGCTCCTGATGGACGCAGATAACTGAGCCACCGATGCATGAATGGATGAATGCGTAAAAGCACTTTGAGTGGTTTAAAGATGAGAAAGGTTCTATACAACTGCAGGACCATTTATCTTGTTACCATGGAAAATATTCACCTCCTCTTCACTTACATTCACTGTGAGCAGAAGACCAAACAAAAGATTCGCCTGCAGTGACAAAATAAATTCACATTTTCACTTCGACTTTACTAAACTCTGACCTCAGGAGTCGCAGCCTCCACCAACAGCAAATAAATATGTGAGGAGGAGGAGGAGGAGGAGGAGACAGTGACACAAACTGATGCTTCCTGTGTGCAGTCAATCAGGAGGAAACATAGCATTTCAATGTATCTATCTAAAAGTTACCTATCCTATCATTCTCTTGTTAGACTGCAGCTAACTTTCCGTGTGCAAAACATTTGGCACTGCCCACATTCAGCAGGTACAGCTCCTCAGCAGGAGACGGTCACCCGCCTGCAGTCTTTCCTGTATTAGAGTCAGTGTGTGTTTGATTTACGTACTCTGGGCGTCCCTGTGGTCTGGGGCGTCCTCCGGCAGTCGGTGGAGATAATCTTTGAGCAGCAGCTCGTAGCGAGGGATCCTCTGAACCGGCTCCAGCATGTGGTGCTGCAGAGTCAGGTTCCCACAGCGCTCCTCCCTCTGCAGCAACAGAACAAGGATTAACACACAGACAGACACAACCACGGGACAAAGCCACAGGTTAACATACAGACAGAGCCACCGCCTGCAGTCAGTCACCTGGATCTCCTGGATGATGGCCTTGAACTGAGCCGATCTCTCCATCCAGGTGTTCACCAGCTCCATGGCCCGATCAAAGTTCTTCACGTACTCGCCGTACATCTTCAGGAAGGGAGCCAGCTTCTGAAGGATGTCCCCGATCCGTGGGTTCAAGTCCCTGCAGACAGAAGGAGGAATAAAGTCAAGGTGACTCCTGAGGAGGAGAACCAGCAGAAGAGGAGAAAGGTCCTCACCACTCCTCCATTCGTTTCTGCAGCGCCGGCAGCAGAAACTGCTGATGGAAACAGTAGATGGAGCAGATGTTGGAGAAGATTCCCTGAACCACGTCACAGGGGAAGGAGGAGCGAGACCGAGCCTCCTCCAGGAGCCGGGCACAGAAAACCTGCAGGAGGAAACCAGAGGTGTCACAGAGACCTGATCAGGTCTTTACACGCATCAGTATCCTCGGTTCTATCAGAGTACAACAAGTTTCTGAAACCAGAATTGTAATATTTACAGACCAGGGGCCTCATTTATAAAAGAGTGCTTAGGATTCATATTAAAAGTCGTCGTGCGCCCAAAAGCTGAAAATGGCGTGCGCCAAAAAATAATCTGATTTATAAAACCGTGCGCACACACTTGCACGCAATGTTCTCTTTGTAAATCAGAGACCTCCTGAAGTTGTGCGCACCCAGATCCGCCTCATATTCTTCCCTCTACACGCCCTAGTTCAACCATAAATGGTCATGCAAATCACCTCATGAATGCGATCTGCATATAAATAAGCCGGCATGCGAGTGTTCTCTCGTTGTGAGTCACGGCAACAGGTGTGAGAAACGAACCAAAAAACGGAATTTCTCCGAGACTGAGCTCGAGACCCTTTAACGGGAGGTGGAGGACTGAAGAAAGATTTTATTTGGTGGCCACAGCAGCGGGATCACTAATAAAGCAAAACAAAGTGGCAACACATCAACGCTGCTGATGCTGTCAGCTGTGTCTGTGGGACTGCACGGACAGTGACAGAGAAAAAAAAAGTGTTCTGATCTAAAGATAGACCAAATATTTCTACTCCTTTACCAACATGTAGTTAACATGTTGCTTTTAAATTTGAGGATGTCTGACATTGATGTGCGACATAAAGAATCACATTTATTAAAGGTGGAGGCAAAAAGGAGGATGTGCCAGTGCCATCTTGCACAATTACGCACGAGGGTCACCGCAGTATTTATATGTTTATGGCAATCGGTCTGATCAGACACCCGGCCTGAATTACAGCATGAACCAGTGGTATCCCTGTCCCAAAATACAACGTGTAATTTGAAATACAACTCAAAGATGAAAGTGTAATAGGCGAACACGTTTCTTCATGCCGATTTTGTCATGAACAGCACATGTCTAAGTAGGGCTGATGAAATGAGTGTAACGGTTGTGCTTAATGGCCGTATTTCGAGACATGATAAATGCACTGGAAATATTTAGCTAAATAAATAAATATATTCCATGCAGTCACGCCGTCCTCTCCCCCTCCTGCGCTCACAGAGTGGACAACGAGACGTTAGAGGCAGTGCAGATTAAATACGTATTTAGAAAGAATTCCAATTCAGGATTTGAGTTGGATTTTACAACATTTTTATGAAACAATTAACACTCACTCCAAGCGCAAAATAAGGCTGCTGGATTTTATTTCAATGATAATGTGGATCTAAGGTGGATATAGCGTGACATGAAATTTGTGCGAGACATCAATAAAAATCTGACTCCTCCACCTCGCCATCTGCGTTGCCACTTCCCAGTGTCTCCAAAATGTGCGCACGCATGACTCAGAGTTTGCTTACAGGTGCGCACATTCTCCCACAAAGTTTATTTTTATAAATCACAACCTTTGTGTGGAAAGTGGCGTACGCCACTTTCAAGCCCCGTTTAGTGCATAAGCAAGCTTTATAAATGAGGCCCCAGATCCTCACCAGGACACTCCAAATACCTGATCCTACCAGGACACTCTAAAGACCAGATCCTAACAAGGACACTCTAAAGACCAGATCCTAACAAGGACACTCTAAAGACCAGATCCTAACAAGGACACTCCAAAGACCAGATCCTAACAAGGACACTCTAAAGACCAGATCCTAACAAGGACACTCCAAAGACCAGATCCTAACAAGGACACTCTAAAGACCAGATCCTAACAAGGACACTCCAAAGACCAGATCCTAACAAGGACACTCTAAAGACCAGATCCTAACAAGGACACTCCAAAGACCAGATCCTAACAAGGACACTCTAAAGACCAGATCCTAACAAGGACACTCCAAAGACCAGATCCTAACAAGGACACTCTAAAGACCAGATCCTAACAAGGACACTCCAAAGACCAGATCCTAACAAGGACACTCTAAAGACCAGATCCTAACAAGGACACTCCAAAGACCAGATCCTAACAAGGACACTCTAAAGACCAGATCCTAACAAGGACACTCCAAAGACCAGATCCTAACAAGGACACTCTAAAGACCAGATCCTAACAAGGACACTCCAAAGACCAGATCCTAACAATGACACTCTAAAGACCAGATCCTAACAAGGATACTCCAAAGACCAGATCCTAACAAGGACACTCTAAAGACCAGATCCTAACAAGGACACTCTAAAGACTAAATCCTAACAAGGATACTCCAAAGACCAGATCCTAACAAGGACACTCTAAAGACTAAATCCTAACAAGGACACTCCAAAGACCAGATCCTAACCATTGGCCATAAAAAACAACTCAGTAGGAAAATCGTATTTTTCAGAATAAGGGCAAAAACTGGAACATCTGTCTTTGTCAGGATCGAGCAGCAGGTGACTCACCTGGTCCAGTAGGTGGAGCTTAGAGACGTAGGCGATCTCTGTGTGCAGCAGCTCGTTAGCGATGTTGAAGACCCTCTGCTGGACAGACAGCTGGACAGACAGACAGACAGACAGACAGTGTGGGCGATGTCAGGGGCATGTGTCCTTTACATGCTGCCGTCCTTTAGGACTTTATGAAAGAACATGTCATGTGATCTAACTGTAGGCGCAGCTTCATACCTTCACCTGTCTTACCTCAGCAGAGTCCTGTCTGTCTGTCTTGGGTCGGGGCAGCACCAGCGTTAGCTCCGCCTCCTCCTCCTCTAAGTCACTGTCTCCCTCCTCAGAGAACTCCCTCCTCCTGGCTCCGCCCTGTGCCTCTCCCTCCTCCCCCTCCCCTCCCTCTCCGGCGTACGAGGATGAGCTGGAGAGGCGAGGCAGGAGGGCGGGACTGCACGGGTAAGCCACGCCCCCATCATCCACACCAGCGAAGCACAGCTCCTCGCTGTGTGACGGAGAACTGATGCTGTCTATGCCGCTGTCCCGATTGGCCAGCTTCCCCTCCGTCTGCGAGGAGGGGAGGGACAGACGCTCAGAGGGGAGCTCTGATTGGTCGAGCTGCGCCGGCTGCTGCTGTTGTTGCTCCCTCATCTCCACAGCAATCACGTCATCCTCCAGGTGTTTCTCTGAGGGACTGTAACCTGACTCCATGGAGAGACGCTTCTGATGGAAGTCCTCACCACACGCCACTGCCAGCTCTTCGTCATCGTCGTCATCATCATCATCATCGTCATCGTCATCATCATCATCATCATCGTTGTCATCATCATGGTCATTGTGCCGGTCGCTGTCTCCCTCCAGTGTGACGCCATCATGGTCTTTCAGCTCAGAGGGCAGTTCCTCCTCAGGTGGGGGAGGGGCGGGCGATGATGATGATGGTGGTGATGAAGGCTGGGAGGAGGGGGGCTCAGGGAGTCGTGGACACAGGGCCCCCCCGGTGATGTCAGGAACCACGATGATCTGCTCGCTGCATAAACACACGGACACACTGTAAATTCTCAGTAAAACCTTTAATGATGACATCACTCCTTCTCTGACCAATCAGAACTCACCGCTCAAATTTCTCGATGAGTGACAGGACGCAGGTGGGGGATGCGGTGCCATCGCCACGGCTAGGCGGAGTCCGGCCCCCCCGTGGGTCTGCAGGGAGGGGTCTGCATGGCGGGGGAGGGGGGAGGGGCTTGTCTGGAGCCCGGGGGCGTGGCCTTGACAGCCCGGCTTGCTGCTGGAGGTGGGGGGGCTTTGGGGGGACTGTGGAGGGCGGAGTCTGAGGTCAGCAAGTGTCATAAACTTGTTCAAGTCTCAAAGTAAATAATATAAACATAAACATAAATATAAACAAAGGTCATTACCCTGAGGTTTGGGTCCAGGCAGCGGCGCTCTGCTCTTGCTCGGTGGTGTTACCGTGGCAGCCGGCAGCTCCGGCGGCCCCGTGTCATTGACCAGCAGCAGCCCGTTAGCAGAGCCACGGCGCTCTGTTAGCTCCGCCCCTCCCTCCAAAGAGGCGGGGCCTGATGACGAGGAGCTGGGCCCTGGGTCGGAGCTCAGCAGCTGGGGAGCGTCAGCGTCCAGTGCCCCCTGGTGGCCGCACGGAGAACAGGATGGCTCCAAAGAGAGACTCTTAGTCAGCAAACTGGGACTGGAGGAGGAGGAGGGACCTGTGGGGGGGAAGAGGGGGGGAAGGTCAGAATGGTGATCACATGACATAAAGGCCACGCCCACAGACTGCCAAAATAAAAGCCAACAAAAACAAAACAAACAGCTGGTCTCTAATATTTTCAAAGTAAAAAAAAAAATCTTCCTTGTCTCCACATTAAAGCTCCAGAGTGTCGGATTTAAATCTAATCTAATCGTTGTGTTTTCTTTAATCAGCTGAAAATAAGAACCAATGAGTTTTTGCCACCTCACAATGAGCTATTTATATCTACACAGGGAGCAGGTTTGTCTACAGAGATCACCATGTTGCACCGCCATGTTTCTACAGTAGCCCAGAGCGGACAAACCAAATAGTGGATCCTGGTAAAAACCTCCTGAACATCTGGGACCGGTCGCACAAAACACCTTAAATTTTCTCCTGTTGCACAGAATCGCTTCAAAGGTTTTCTTAGTTAAAGAAAAAGGCATTTACTGCACTGAAAGAGATTTTACGGCAATAGTTTCCATGGAGACCATTTATTTGCTTGCACTCACGCTTCTGACACCTGTTATCGTCTCATAAAGTCGGCGGTGGACAGAGTCAGAGGCACCTTAACTGTTTTTTCTTACTTACTTGGGTTGCTAAGGTCTTTTTGCAGTGGCAGAAAAAACCTTATATATTTACTTGAAAGATTAAATGAACCTTTAGGAGAAGACTGAAGGGTGTTTTGAGATTTTATTTTAAGGGAATCTTAACTTGGGACTTTGAGGAAAATCTGAACTCTCTTCAGTTATCAGAGAAAAGGTGAGCGAAGGCCACAGTCTTACTGGTTTGAGACCGGCCCACATTTCAGACTCTGTCGTTTAATAATCCTTCACGTGCTCCCAGATCCTCGACTGCTGCACAGTCGCACAAGAAAATAGGTGGTGCAACTTTCATTAGTGAAAGCTCCTCCAAAATTATGAAATATCCTTCAAAAGATATCAGAGAAGTGAACTTCTGGATGTTTTAACCAACAGCTGAAAACCTACTGATTTAGTCTGGCTGTTAATTAATGTATTCATCAAATTAATGCTCATCAATCATTGACTCTTCTCACTGGTCTCTGTATTTTTTACCTTCACTTTTATATTCTGTTCATCATTGACTCCTTTTATTATCTAATTTTGTCCTTTTTGCTTTTGTGTTGCATTTTCATTGTGAAACACTTTGAGCTGTACGTAAAGTGCTCTCTATATAAAGTTTATTATTATTATTGTTATATGGATTTTGTTGTGTGTATTTTCCATCACCCCCCGAGTCCTGCTGCTGTCTCTACTCAGAGTTATTAAAAAAGTAGTCAGACAGAACGACACAGTTTCTGGAGGCAGGATGAAATCAGCTGATTGTAAAAACAGCCCACACACACACACACACACACACACACACACAGAGTAATAGCTTCCATATGAGGTCTCTGGCTGCAGCAGCTGGACAGAAATAAACTCCACATGGAGGACAGACACACAGACAGACAGACAGACATTTGTGGTCTGTTAACACTGACGCTCATTGGCTGAATCCTGGCTCTTCCTGAGAGCCTATTGGCTGACAGGAATCATTTAAAACAACGCCAGATTCAAAACGATCACCGAGGTCGCAGTAACACGTCTCCGTCTGTTCCTCAGGACCAAACAGTGACTACATCTCCCATGAGGCTTTGACAACAGGCCGAGGGCTGACACCGCACTCATCGATCAATAAATCTATATCAGGGACTGTTTGTTATTAATGAGGGGGGAGGGGTGGTGCAAAACAGAGGAGGCATGTCTGATTATTTTTTTAAGCACTGAGGAGGGACTTATGTTTTTTATTCTGGCTTGGGGGGCGGGGCTTACAAATTTAAACATGTATTTTGTATTTATTTTGCTGCAGATTTTTAAAGAAATATTTCCTTCTCAACCTGTGGAAAGGCACATCTTTTCTTTAAAAACTACCCAAATTACACAATTTTTCACAAACTGTAAGAACAGAAACTATCGTTGGTTTTCAAATTTCTGGCGGTCCTTGGACACATCATGTGTGACGTATGCTTCCGTTGGAAAAAACAACATAACCAAATCTGAGCTTAAATATGTCAACAAAATCACTTTATTCTACATCTCATTTAAAATTTGGCCAAAAATAAATCGTTTGCATCAACCACACATTCTCATCCCAAGTTGTCACACACTGGCGCTTTGCCACTGGCCTTTCACTTCTATATGAGCTAGGTATCCTCCTGCATCTGCTGTTGACATTCTGGGACGCTGCTATCAACGCCATGATGTTAACACAAACACATGGTTAGGTTTAAAAGAAAATATCATGGTTTGGCTCAACATTCAGATGAAAAGCGAACACTGGGCCACTGGGTGAAAGTTCAGGGTCTGTTGGACCCATCCACCTCCCCTCCCGGCCACCCTATAGGGACTTTCCAGCTCCTTATATTGCATTGTCACTGGCAGTGTCTCAAACTGACGCCGTTCAGCGGGTATCACACCGCCATGACAGGTGCTGTTCAACCAACAGCCGATGCAATGTAAGTCCCAGATCACACAGGAAGTGTTTCAGCAGCTGGAGGCGAGACAACAGTTTTTAATGAGAATGAAGTTTTTTGCTTGCCGCATGTTTCTGTCTAGGTACCTGGCATTTTTGCGGAAGCGTTCTGAACTCCTCAAGTTGGTAAACAACGGAGAAGAAACTGGTGGTGCTCAGTTGCTCTGTAGGACCCTGAGTCTTCCTAAAATCTGCCTGTAAACGTCCATGATGGAGGAGAAGCTCCTGGACCAACTGGTGGTACTCCCCATGATCCAGCCTCTTTTTTAGGGTCTCATGTACCCACACAGATCTCTGTTTATCTGCTGACAGCCTCTCACCCTCAACCAGAGCTACAGACAGCACCCTCTGCCTCAACATGGCAGCAGCTACTCACTGATTACTGCAGGATACACAAACTGTAGACTGATGACACAGGAAGGTTAGGGTGAGGAGGTGATGGGTGGTTGCCTGGCAACAATAAAAAGGTGCAGGAAGAGTTTTTTGTTTTCTTTTTACTGGCAACATTCAATTAAAAAAAAAGGCAGTGCGGTGCGCCTCTTTGTGTGCGATCGGAGCCTAACACCACAAAAGGTTCAATGCAGCCACATTACTAACTGACGACGCTCAGCGGTGGATAGAACTGCTGTTAAAAGTGGCTTTTGGTGCCGGTGTCTGATGTCGAAATCACTGACAAAGCAGCAGTATTTTGGAAGGAGAACGGGCCGACATGAACTAACCAACTTGAATGACAAGAGTGACAAACTGACACCACTTCAACTCCAGGATTTCATCTTCAACTTTTAACTTTCAAACATCAAAGGGTAAGTTTTAAAAATCTAGTGACTCATTTATGGAGGAGGGAGGGTCACACTGCAGACACCCCCCTCCTCTGATAAATAAAGAACAGTCCCTTACATATAACAAAGAGTCACATTAAAGAGCTCATTCACTTGTTCCTTCATAAGAACACATGAGCAGCACCGACCAGATTAAACCAAAGGCAATCTGGACCTCAAACTAAATCCAGATCAAATGAATAAATCTGACATGCTGACTAAAAAAACTACAGCTGATCATCATCGACGACCACAATCACACAAACATTCATAGCTCCACTTTCTCTCTCTGCAGCTGATACAGGGCCGTCTCCACAGTGTGACTGATTCACTCTGACTGTCTGACAGCTGTTTTCTTTCTCCTCTCATGCTCATTAATTATTCATGATGGACCAGAAACCTGTCTATCGTCAATACAGCGACAGCTGCTGTGAATGAAGTTATTAATTATTCAGTCACTGACTGTTTGATGAGCCATCATTAAAACCTGCAGCGTACTGTATCAATAATCAGAGGATCAATCAAACTGATGGATCGCTGATTCTTTTTAAACTTGGTTCTATAGAATCTGTGACCTCTGACCTCAGAGGAAACGGGAGATCTAATTGGTCGATGCAGCTCTGGGGAGAATACTTCCTGTTTAAATAATCTGATCTGACATGATGAAAATCATCTTAGATCAACACAAAAAACAAAATAATAAACCCAAAATATTAACAGTCCTGGGAGCTGTGTGTGTGTGTGTGTGTGTGTGTGTGTGTGCAGTTGTGAACATGACAGAGAGGTCATGGGAAAACATCAACAGGCTAATGTAAAGCAGATGCTGTGTGTGTGTGTGTGTGTGTGTGTGTGTGTGTGTGTTCATTAGCAGCAGTCCCAGTCATTAAAGTAATTTCAGACCAACAGGCAGTCTCTGTTATTCTCCTGTCTGTGCAGCCTGGCTGACCTCACTACATTACCCACAATCCTTCCAATAACACAGGTTGTTCTCAAGCACTGTTCATATGTGTACCTATGAAAAGTGATGCACCAGAATCCCAACTTTAATGTGGAAACTGCCATCATGTGACCACCGAGCTGATGGGATTAAAATAGGAAGTAGTATGATGAGCAAACATTCACGTAAAGGGACGGGATGAGGGGGGTGGATGGGTCAAACAAACACAGGACTTTTCCCAGGAACTTTGTGCTCAGCTAGGCTAACATTCATTCACTCATTCATTGTCCACAACCACTTATCCTGTTAGAGGTCACCATGTGGTGGAGCCTATCCCAGCTGACACTGGGTGAGAGGCAGGGTTCACCCTGGACAGGTCACCAGACTATCACAGGGCTGACACATAGAGACAGACAACCATTCACACTCACATTCACACCTACGGACAATTTAGAGTCACCAATTAACCTGCATGTCTTTGGACTGTGGGAGGAAGCTGGAGCACCTGGAGGAAACCACGCTGACACGGGGAGAACATGCAAACTCCACACAGAAGGGCTCCCCCACCCCGGGGTTCGAAACTTTGTGCTCAGCCAGACAACAGTTCACTTTAATGTCTATGCTAAACTAGGCTAACCACATCCTGAACCATTCTCTGTAAAGGACACGCAGACATGAGGTCGTCCCTAT